AGAACAAATGTCTCTCCAACAAGCATGCGGTCTCGCCGTATATGTTGCTTAGTTCCTCTGCTCTCATCAGCATTCCTGGCAGCAATCTCATCAGCTTCCTGGCAGCAATCTCATCAGCTTCACTTAGCTGCAGCTCTGGTTACGGAGGGATGCTTTCACACCTGGATGTCATCAGATTCTCAGCTCACACGGCCCCTGCATTCACCATCATCTAAACATGGCTGCTCTCTCTCCTCTTCCTGTTATCTCAACTCCGTGTGAAAACTCCACCTCTACAAGAATATAGAAATATCTATGCAGTCTAAGGCTGTATTAGAAAAACAGTGACATCTTGTGGCTAAACTGCAGAATGTCAGTCAAAACATTTAATTTACTCCACACAAGCAGTATTCAAACAATGAGTGCTGTTTTCCACCCCATCTCATAATAGTAGACGTGGAATCAGCAAGCAATCAGCTAGAAGGAAGCAATCAGTGAATGTCTCAAAGTTAGTAGCCTGCACTGCTGTAGATAAAAGCATGACTGAAGGCAAAACTTTTTTTTATAGCTTTAGATATAATGGAGAGGGATTACACCTGTCAGTTTTTTATGGCTGTCTAGGACTCCATTAGGGAGTTCTCCCTATCGTTTTGTCCTGATGGCCATTATCATCAAAAGTGAAAATTAAAAAAATCCAATATTTTTGAGTAGTCATCAGAACAGAAATAGAGTAGACATTTTGCAATGAGAACACTAGTTCTGATGACCCTGGGTGACTTCCAGGGGTTTCCATAATTTTTGAGCCATTTCCTCTTACTTCCTGTTATGATTATGGGAAAGGAAGTGAAGGCAAATCTCCCTTCCTTACTCTATCAAAAATGGAAAAAAAAAATTCCTTTCGTTTTACGACCTGGTGTAACAACTACCAAGATCTGCCCAGCCATAAAAGAAGAACGTTGAATTTTTGTTCCAGAAAATCTTTTTTATGGATCTTATTGAGGGACATAGGATTCAGAGACATTTGGGTTATACTGTCCCCTACAGGAGGATTTGGACACTGCCTGGTATAACCCACATCCACTCCCAGCAGGTCTAAGTTTTGGAAAAAAAGTAGTACCAAGAGCAGGACCATAAACACAGGGGGTAAGGGCTTGTGTCCTTCAATGAATTCCAAGAAAAGGATTTTACGTTGAATACAAAAATCTTGTTCATTGAGCAACACAGGATTCAGAGACAATGGGGATGTCCAAAAGCAATCCAATGGAGAGGTGGGCAATGCAGCAAACAAAAAGCTAACAGGCCCATTATAAACAGAAAATTGGGGACTGCCTGCAGCTTTAAAAGATGCTTGAAGGACATTACGCTTAAAGATGGCATCAGATGTGACCTGAGCATCCACCTGGTAAGATTTAGAAAATGTGCAAAAAGAAGACCAGGAGGCAACCTGCAGATCTGGGAAATAGTTGCTTGATGTGGAAAAGCCTAACAAGCAGACCTGATACTTAAGACTATAAGCTCAACAGCATTTTTGGAAGTTCTGGAAGAACCAAATTCAAATCCTACAGGAGTGATGGGTGGGTGAATGTACAAGGTAAGCCACATGAGGGGAATCCTGGACCAAAAATCTTAAAGAATGTGAGGCGGGTGATCCCTGGAACAGTATCACAAGCACCATGATTTGACTGTCAATGGTACTCAGGACCAAATGCTGGTCCAGGTCTGACTGCACAAAGGTCAGTTTGCATCCCATGGAGTATTTCCTTGGATGAAAGCTACTAAGCCAAGCGTGCCTTCCATGTGCAATGGTAGATATTATGAGAAGTGGACTTCCTAGCTTTTAGCCTTCTAGAAATCTCCAATTCAGGGAAGCCCCGATGCTTCAAGACCTGTGTATCAATAGTCATGGCATTAAAGTGGCAGTGACAGGACGGTGAACCATTCCTCAGAAAAGAAGATCCTGATGATCTGAAAGAGCTCAAGGAGTGTACAGCAGGAGTCTGATCAGAGCTGAGTATCACATCTACCTGGGCCAGTCTGGAGCAATGAGTATCACCAGAATGTCCTCCATAACGCTTCAGCACAGCGAACAAGGAAATAGCTTTAGGAAAAGGCATAGATCAGGTTGTACTGATCCTGCTGAGCTGCCACAGCATTCACTGCTCCCACTATGCAATCTCTGTTTATGGATACAAATTTGTGCAGTTTGTTGTTGAACCTGGATGCCAGGAGGTCCCCTACTTGTGACACGTGGTTTGAAACACCTCTGGGTATAGCACCCATTTACCAGAGTACAAGTGATGTCAGGTGAGGACATCTGTCTGCCAATTGTCCAAACCTAGGATATAAAAGCAGACAAAGCAGGAGAGAGTAAAGGTCTCCCAGGACAGAATCTTTTCTACCTCTTTTGCCATAGCAAGTCTTCTGGTTCCTCCCTGATGGTTGTACAGTGACAGGAGAGTAAGTCAGATAATGATTCTGCAGGTCAGAGCTGCCATTTGGTCCATGAAATCATGTATTACTGTGGAGAAATTCCCCTGGGTTAAAACCAAACCGGGGGCCACACCTAACAGAGCTAAGGCAAGCCATAGATTATGCAATTTTTTTGCAGGAAAGAAAATCGCTCGATCTATTTTGTTATCTTGGCAGGGAGCCATCCCTATTGGGAGAATACAATAACTACTGCTAATGGCTATAGGCGCAGGCAGTAATTGCATGATAAAAAATCCAACATGCTGGTTGTATTTTTTATTATTATTATTATACAGGATTTATATAGCAACAAGATAAAGTGCGGCACTAAATTCATACAATTAGTCTGTAGATGAATCAGCATAAAATGGACATAGACATCAATTGCTGATGAAAGTTCATAAGGTGAGTAAAGTGCTCAGAAAATCATGCGTCTTCCTGGGTCCGGTGGACGTGCATATAAGTGTATAAGCAATGCGCACTCACCAGAAAGCACATGTAAATGCGCATTAGTAATGATTTGATGTCATCTAATGGTCATCATGGGATGATAGCAGGAATCCTAAGCCTTTCATCTATGGGTGGATGGATTGGATTCGTCAATGTCAGGATCTTCCAGAGTTCACTTTTATGGGATAGGTGGGTGCAGTCCTCTGTGTCTAGTGGAGGCTCCCTCTCTGGATATTAGGATTCCTGTGAATTAAAAAAAACTCCTCGGGGGAGTGAAAAGCAAAAGGATGCCCATAGTGTAGTAAGTAGGTAAACATTTATTTGCACAAAATCCAGGTAAAATGAACAGCAGGGCATATAAAACCATGTGGACTAACCGTCCAGAGTTAAAAGATGGCCGCCAGAGCTCCTCGTTGCTCTGGCGGTGTGACGTCAACGGCGTTACTGTCTCCTCCTTACGCGTTTCATGCACACTCCCCTCAGACGATGTGTGGGTGCACGAAACGCATTTCTTTAATTCCTAGTAGGTTAAGGGAGTTGTACCCAAGTTTATGGCTGGATCAACTTGAGTAAAATCACCGTCCCATAGATGGATGAAATCTCGGCTGGTCCCTGTTGAACCAGCCGAGATTTGATCCATCTATAGCTGGCTTAAGGAGGACTCTAGCAGGGGACAATATTTCTGGGTGTCAGTTTTAGGCCCTTGAAAGGAAGTGCTACTGGCTGTCTGGGAACTGTTAGTGGATTGTGAGCTGGAGGTACCTGGTACATCAGGATTGCTTGCCGTATGTTTGGGATCTAATATGTTGCACTGTAATCAGATACAACTAAGTTCAGAATCCTTGGTAGAAACCTAGGGGCTCACAAATCAGCTTCTGGAATCAGGAGAGGTTCAAGCAGCAGGAGGTGATAAGGTAGATGGTAGCAAGGAATCGCTTGTCTCTTGTGATATGGAGCAGTGGCAGTAAACTGCTACCGCATCCCGAATGGCAGCAACAAGAGCACTCTACCTAGTGGTGCAGCACTCATTCCCTCAACACTCAATGGTTCTAATAAACAAGCTCTCAGTGCTTGGCCCACATGGCCTACTCAAAAAGCGAAGCTTTAGAGACAGGATCACACAAGAGGCTGTGCCATGGCTCTGGATCTGGAAACACATCTGGTGTAACTAACTATACGAAGGTTTGGAAAGTGCCATGATATGGAGCTCCATGCCCAAAGGTCATGTTCCAGGCAGGTCCAGCATTTATTCTGTCCAAAGAGGACTGGGTACAGCTTTCAAAGCTATTGCTGAAGATCAATTGATCTGGATAGGTGCATAGAAATTCTTTACTGATACATGCTGGAAGTGGGAGGGAAGCAAATCCACTTGTAGTTGGAAGTATGACCCAATTGTCTCAGAACCCTGTGTTCTTCAATAAAAGAGAAAGAAAGGTGGTACTGAGTCAGGTGGCACTGTGCAAATTTACATATTCATCAGGCACCATATTGCACTGTGCTGCTTTAAGCAGTAGGGATGCAGCATTACTTGCATGCATTTACAGCATTGGTTGCATGGAGTCTGTATGCATGGCAATGGATGCTTTTCTGCTTTCAGTGCATGAGTGCGCATTTCTAAGAAATACTCAAAATAATTAATATGTGAAGGAGTTACAGGACATACATTTAAAACTAAAATATACTGTTATGTACATATAATATTCTGTTGTGTACATAAAATGTACTGTTATTAAATATTTTCACTGTATTTCTTGTATATTTCAGGCAGAATAAGAAAAAACTGAGCATTGAAGAAATCAGGCCATTGATATAGCTCCTCTTCTAAAACTAGTAATGGACAGAAAACACAGTAACTGAAGAAAATAAGTGCCTCCATATGAAAAAATAATTTCATATATCAAATAAAAATGCAGAAAATACATTTGTCCTACAAAGAAGCTTTTCAAGACACATAAGCTCAAACATCTTCCCTGATGACCAGTAGCAAAGACACAACTAAACCCATTCAAGAAATAAATGCAAAGTGTTCCAATTCAGTATCACCACGTAAAGCTATTAGGCCAGAAACTGCTATATTAGTCAAAAGATCATCTGCAGGAAGTATGGCACAAAGACAGGCCAACCGACCAGTCATCCCTCCTCGAAGACAGGGTTTCAAAGTGTGTTACATCTGCGGAAGAGAATTTGGTTCAAAGTCTATTGCCATACATGAACCCAAATGCCTAGAAAAATGGCACGTAGAGAATCAAAATCTGCCTAAACATCTCAGAAGACCAGCCCCAGTGAAACCCCAGGTGGCTGCACATAGTTCCTCTAGTGAGAATGAAGCTGCTTGGCAAAGTTCTCAAGCACAACTTTTACCGTGTGGGAATTGTGGTCGTACTTTTCTTCCTGACAGACTTCTTGTGCACCAGAAAAGCTGTAAACCAAAAGATAAGAATTTAGGTTCTGCCCATATAACAGTTAACAAGACTGTAACACATACCAGTTCCTTGACAGCATCTAAAACAGCCACTGGATTTCCTGATACTAAGATTCCTGACAATCCAACAAAACCAAAAACATTAATTTGTTACATCTGTGGAAGGGAGTTTGGAACCAAATCTCTCCCAATCCATGAACCAAAATGCCTTGAGAAATGGAAAATAGAAAATGATAGGTTACCTAAAGGACAAAGGAGACCCATTCCTCAGAAACCTCAGATGGCTTTTTCTAAAGAGGTCAGTCGAGAGGAACAAAATGAAGCAGCTTGGCAGAGCTTTAAGGATCAGTTGATGCCCTGTCCAAATTGTGGTAGAACCTTTGCAAGTGATCGACTTCAAGTTCACCAAAGAAGTTGCAAGGTTAAACCTTCCAGTGTCAGGAGCCCAGACCTGCTCAGTAAAACAGCAAAGCTAAAAAGTGAAGATGCAGAAATAAAAAACAATAAGGTAAAGGGTTAATATAATATTTAAATTATCTTTGCTGTGGGTAGAAAATATGTAATCATCTAAAACCTCATTTGGAAAACTGGTAGAAATTCGTAGTAAAATTAACAGAATAGTCTCAATCAGCTATTACATAGTGGCATACATTGGTAAGTAAAGTTAAAAAAATTAGTTTCTATGTTTATACATGGTGCATATTTATTCTTATAGACCCACAAGCTATAGAAATGATCTTTAAATTTCCAGTGGTGGTTGTGGGATTAATACTAACGTGCATCAACACACTTTGAAAACATGCTAAAATTGAAATAAGAAAGGCAAAGTTGTGAACTTAGCCTTCTGTCTCACTTTCATGTTAGGTAATTGACTAGGCATCATTTCTCTTTTTGCAGTCCTACTGAAGATTTTGCTCAGGACTATAAGGTTAACTTTACATAGACTTTAAGAGCAGGCATTTATAGTGCACTTTTGAAGGCTCCCAAATACTGTCAGAAGTTACACTCTGTTTTTAAAATGGAAGTGAGCAATACAGTACAACCCTGGTTTTGACTTTGCTTGGATCTCTTTTGTTCACCTCAAATCTCAAATCCCAAATCCCATGCAAAGTTTGCTAGACTTTCCAAATGCTCTATGTGGATCAACTGAAGCACAATGGAAATGCACATTTAAACTTGGAAATAGCAACCAGAAGGTTTTTGGAAAGTATCCATCATATACTAAGACCTGTGTAACTAGGTTTGTCTGTTCCTTTAGATTAATTGCTTCTATTGTGAAAATGTCTTACAATTCAACTAATGGATGAAGAGGATGCTGCCTTCTGCTAGAAATAAACTGCATAGGCCTCACTTTCATAGATATCTTGAATACGGTTTTCTGAGTTTCTGTCTTTGTCTTTCTTCTCACATCGCTTCCCTTTATCTATCTAATATATTTGCATATCTATGAATTTCTAATGAATTTCCTTGTGAACCAATTACCTTTCTCTGCAGTAGCTGCTACACTATTAGTTCCTCTGGAAATATCAAAAGATAACTGCTATTCACTGTTGTCTCTGATAACTGTCCTAGTACATGTTTTTTTCTTATTCTGGACATTTATTAAAATGATGAAACCATCTTTGGGTTAAAATCTTTGCCTTACATAAACCGAAAATATTTATGCTGTGCCCCCATGCAATGCAATGTTATATGTTAAGGCTCCATGCAGTTTTTGGCCCAAGCAATGTCTTAAATGCATGGCTCTTGAGGTTCTTTTTCTCATCTGAAATAGAACATGACCAATTTGTTACAATTTGCCCCCCTATCCCTGCTGTTACTTAAAAATTCTTTCAGATTCATGGTAAGGAGGATTGTTTAAAAGAAAAGAACTTGATGCTGGGTTAAAAAAAAATTAGATCATCTGTAATTGAGATGCCTCCAGACAACTGTGAATTGTGTAGTCAGTAGGTATTAAAAATACACTGTGTGACATATCGGCATGGATGTCACTCCACTTCCTCAAACTCAATCTTTCCAAAACTGAGCTTTTAGTATTCCCCCCAGCCCGTGCCCCCTCCCCTGACTTCTCCATCAAGATCAATAACACAATCATCAGTCCCACCCCTCATGCCAGGGTACTAGGTGTAATCCTAGACTCCCATCTGTCCTTTCAGTCCCAAATCCATTCACTGTCCAAATCTGGTAGACTTCACCTCCGCAATTCAAAACATTAACAACAAAGTATAAAGCCATTTATAACTCTGCCCCAAATTACATCACCGATCTTGTCTATAAATATCACCCAAACCATACTCTCCGCTCCTCACAAGACCTCCTGCTCTCTAGCTCCCTTGTCTCCTCCTCTCATGATCATCTCCAGGACTTCTCCAGAGCTTCCCCATCCTCTGGAACTCTCTACCCCAATTTATCAGACTATCGCCTACTCTGCTCACTTTTAGGCGATCTCTGAAAACCTATCTCTTCAGGGAAGCCTATCCTGCCCTCAGCTAATAATGGAATCTTCTACTCTTCCAACCAGTCCATCCCCCACGTTACTACCTTTGTACCACTAGCCCCTCCCTCCTAGATTTTAAGCTCCAAGGAGCAGGGCCTTCCTATTCCTCTTGTACTGAACTGTATTGTTGCTGTATTGTCTCCCGTTGTATTGTAAAGCACTGAGAAAACTGTTGGCGCTATATAAATCCTGTATAATAATAATAATAATATAATAATAATACACTGTCACTTTGCCCCATTCTGATCAAATTGACAGTCTCTGCAGAAGGCCCACTCCCCTCCAGGCAGCTATAAGAACATAGCCACACTTTCACTCCACTTCCCCATACCACCTGAAGCTCTAACATGGCTTCTGGGGTAAGCGGGAACTTGTGACCTTCTCCATGTGACAGTACACGGACCTGAGCTGCCAATCACCAAGCCAAAACTCTGACATGTAGGGGTGGGCTCATCCCCATCTGGTGATGGAGCTCAGTCAGGCTGGGATGTTGCAGTGGTGAGGCAGTGAAGGAAGGTGGCCTACTAACTATAGAGAATGGGGAATTGGCCTATCTTCAGATGGTTATCGTATCAAGAATCCAGTAACTGGTCAAAATATGCTTCATTACTAATTACTACATTACTAATTCATTACTAAATTATGCTTCATTATTATCACATTGACTCTAACCTGAACAACTACCTTAAGAGCTGCTTTCAGCTAATGTTTCTTGGTCACAGGTCAAATTTTATTGGGATTTTGTCACCCATTATTGTGAGTTGAGACAGTCTAAATGTGATGTTAAACTGACATATATGCGTGTTAGCTCAAGTCATATGGCCTAGGATTGGTTTATATACATATATATATATATATACTGTATATACATACAGTACTGTGCAGTAGGGCATGGAAGCAAGGCTAAGTGTCTCACATATGCACAAAAACATAGGAAATGGGGTGCAGAAAAATGGCAGCAGGTGCTGCCGAAACATAATTAGCAATATTTGGCTGTAGCAAAAGGCAGTTTGTTCACAAAGGGGTGGAGAGTGGTACAATAATGAGTGTCTGCAGGCAACAGTGAAGAATGGTGGAGGTTGCTTGAAGGTTTGGGGTTGCATTTATGCAAATGGAGTTGGAGATATGGTCAGAATCAATGGTGTCCTCATTGCTGAGAGATACAGGCAGATATTTATCAATCATGCTATACCATTAGGGAGGCATGTTACTGGCCCTAGATTATTCTGCAGTAGAACAATGACCCCAAACATGCTGCCAATGTCATTAAGAACTATCTTCAGTGTAAAGAAGAACAAGGGGTCCTGGAAGTGATGGTTTGGCTCCCACAGAGCCCTGATGTCAACATCGTTGAGTCTGTCTGGGTTACATGAAGAGACAAAAGGTTTTTAAGACCTGACGAGTTGATTGAGATACGCCCATCGGCAAAACACGTTGGCATCACACGTCTTTGACGTCTACGGATGGCCATGATTCCACTGGGGCAGGCCATATGGATGATGGAAGAAGCAAACATGCAGGGAGTAAATGATGACTGAGTGGAAACATGTATAGCAGCTCAGATATCATGGAATACAAACGATATGTCAAGTGGATGGTAAAGAGACTGACGAGCCTTGATGGCAACCATCACAGCACGGCAATCCTTACAGAGGATGGAATATCCCGAGCAGAAAGGGTGAGCGAAACTGTATCTAAGGCTGCACAGCCTGTCAGCGAGTAACTATGCTCAATCAACATATTCAGCTGCTCACCTTGACTTTACTGCTCTATGAAGCTAGGAACTTATGCTGAACTGCTTATCTTCTGCATCTATGAATCTTTCCCATTACTTCTCTGCTGAGAACTCTACCTGCATTGAAATAGTTGTGACAATAGCTGCTTCTTTTGTCTTCCCACCTTATATTTGCACACTTTATCCAGTGACTTATGTCGTGGGACTAGGTATATCATGATATCCTACTGAGGATTTAATCTATACCAGCTAAGGAGCAAAATATTTGGAATTAATGTAGCACAACATTTATCCAGTGTTAATCGGATCCATATAGTCACAGCTGGATAGTTGTTTGCTATTATATTTTAGTCCATGCAATATTTTTTATACTCCAGAGGGGCTAGCCCATAGGGTGTTGGAGAGTAGTAGCCTAACAGACCGGTGCTCGAGTCAATGCCTGGCTAATTATATTCCTGAACTTAGGGCCATACTGTGATGTCATGGTTCATTCAAATTGTTTTTAAGGGGAACAGACAAGCACATATTTCTTTAATTTGCTAGAAGGTTTTGAGGTAGCCTACATCCACAGAAGATCTGTGGTTAGTTCTCTTAAGATATTTAGAACAACCTACTAGCCTACCAGCTGAGTTTCCTACAAAAACGGTGTGCAAGTGTACCTAGAAGAATTGATGCTGTTGTGAAAGAAAAGTGTGGTCACACCAAATTTTGATTTGGTTTGGATTTATCTTCTGTTCATTTACTTTCAATTTTGTTAATTGATAAAAATGAACTATTAACATTTCTTTTTCTGAAAGCATTTTTAATTTACAACTTTTTTACCTGCCTAAGACTTCTTCACAGTACTGCATATAGCACTCTTCCAGTTACGTTGCTAGGTAAATTTAGTTTTTGGCTCCTCCTGTAATCAGGGGAGGAGTGATTGTTCTGGTCTGGTCAGGGCTTCACAGGCTGGGAATTTGATTGCTTTCCCCTGCCTCTAGAAGAAGTTTCTGGAGCTTAGGGAGGGAGAATTGAAATGACCAGCCTGAAGACTGAACAGGGCCTAGCCAATCCCTGGGGAGGT